CAAAACATAAAAATCACTCCAAAAACACATTTTTGGCCATATCTCCCTAAGGAGTCATCACAATTTCTTTCCAGACTGGTCATATAATGATCATATAGTGCACGTTTTATAGAAGAGAGAATATGGCCCCAGATCCTTGCCAGTTCCGAGAAACATCGGTGAGGCGTTTTACCTCGGCGGGGCGACTTGCCCCGGTCTACCCTATTTACTTTAAAGGGACCCTCCCACCTTCAAAAAAGTTAATGAATTGGCATGAAAGTGATGTCGCTCGGTTCAGAAAGAGCAAAAACGAATATCTACCAAATTTCATCGAAAAACATTCACCGGTTTTCAAGATATTAGACTTTTACTTTTGTTTACTTTTTGGGATCTCCGCTGTTCCTAGCGACTTTATTTGAAAGTGCGGCATTTGTTGCGCGCAAAGCAGCATATACCACCGCGTGCTACAAAACGTTTTAGTCAAACATTTAACGGACGTTCGAAAGCCTGATGACGTCATCAGATTCCCGTAATGGTTAAGAGATAGGGACCACGCTGGTCCCACCCTGCAAGTAAAGGGAAGAAATTTCTTGAACACCATAAAGCTGCGGGGGTTGCGACCAGGATAAATGGTGGTTTCTGAGCCTGGCCGCAAACTTGGCTATCTCAACTCAAAACTAATGTTAAGGTGGGAGGGTCCCTTTAATGTGCTATAAGAGGCACGACTCATAACAGTGCGTGAAGATCACGCTGCTTTACAGCAAGTGTGTTGCATGGACAATTTTTGAATAAACTTGGCATTAAAAATATGCACGTTTATATACTTAGTAAGAAAGTAAGCTGAGAAGGAAATGAGCTACAGTCCGTGCAAAGCAAAAGTTCAGAATCCCACAAGCCACAAAGATGGGGCGATAGCCAACATACTCGATCAGATAAATGGATTGTTGCATTGGCCAGCGCAAAATCAAACAGATGGGTACCAGTAACCAGTGTGACTCATGTAGGCGGTTGAAACACACGGTTTAACATTTAAAACACCGTCTGATGTCTTACAATGTCTAACAAGCGGTTAGACATTTAAAACACAAATTATCAAAGATGATAAAACTCTATGTTTTCCTATCGGAACCGGACTGCTGACCCTGGGTCGTTTGACTGCATCTCTGGCAGTCCTGCGGCGCCGCGCGAGCGGTGGTGACCCGGACGTGACCTTTGGCCTCTGTGAGCACAGCTGAGCGGGCGACACTGCCAGCTGGCGAGCCATGTGCGCCCGCAGAGACAGGCGACAGCGCGCTGGGGTCACAGAGACAGTGAGGCTCCACCGGGGGCAGCACACCGGCCGACGTGGGAATCGGCCCGGCGCCGAATTCCGTCACTATCGTGCTGTCAACACCGCAATGGACGTTATCAGTTCGCAGCTCACAACTGGAATGTCTCCAGGCCAAATCTCCGGCAATTTTGCTTTCTTTTTGTCCGGAAATGCTTGTGTTTGGTGCGCGGCCCGAAACAGTTTTATGCTGTTGTCATGGCTTACAGGAAGGCCGACAGTTGACTGCAAGAGTAATGTATCGGCGTGCTGGCACGGTGGTGCTTGCCGCTTTGGAGGAAAACAATACGGGTCCAGGCTGCGGGATTTTTAAAATGCTTCTGTATTGAATCACCACCCTTGCTATGTAAGTGAGCAGCAAGAATAGGTCAAAAGGTCGTTTAACGCCCTTCATAAGCCTGCAGAGTGCGCACTGCGCACTGCGTAGTTAATATGCATTTTTTTCGAATGTATTCAGATTAGGGTGAGTAGCTTGACTGTACCGCTACAGCCTACAATCGTCGGACCGTTGACGACAAATCTCAATCTCCCATTCACAAAGGCACACTCGAAAGTTTCAGGCCTCGAACCAGCACGTTCATCAGTCTCCTCTCGAGTTGACGGGACGACAATATCCGACAAGCCACAGTGCAGGACAGGTGGATCAGCCAGCGCTGCAGCCACGACTCAGTATCAGCCGACGTATCAGTGGGGTGTTTCCCAAATACCGGTCCCGAGTTTACACAGTGATTACTGACGGTGTCGCGTCAAAAAACAGGCCGACATCTTGTTGCTGCGCCGCCACAGGCCCTCTAGTATAGCTGCCGGGCTGGGTGATCGGCCGGCGCACGTCACTCGCTCTCATGTTTCCTGTACGCGTACTTGTCGGTACACCGGAGGTGGTTGTTTTTGTGGTCGAACTGCAGACCGCAGCGGCGCTGTTGGGCCGAGGAACGGCACGGCGCGGTGGCACGCAGGCCACAGCCCAATGTCGCCGCAGTTAGGGCATCTGATCAGACGAGACTGAGTTTGATTGGACTGACATTGAGGTCTGAGTTTGGTTTGAATGAGCTCCGAATTTGCTGGTACTGAGACTGAGCTGCGCTACGCATTTGATCTGAGACTGTTTTACGCGTGGTGAGACTGGTCGCTTTTTGTTCGCACTGCGATAGGAGGCGATTGCCAAGTGTGACAGGTCGTTGACCTCTGCCTGAAACCTGTGTCAGTTTGTTAGCCCCCCCCCCCCCGATCCCTACACACTACACAGTCCCCTGTGGCTGACCGTACGACCGGCCGACTGGCTAGGAGGCGCCTGTTTGGGAGGCGGACTGGTCCGTTTTGACTTTGAACCGATCAAATGGTAATGTGGAGTATTGACCACAGCTGAAACCAGAGTTAGCCTTGCCTTTCGTCTGTTTTTATTCTTATTGTTATTCTTCTTTAATGTTAAATATAATTACGGTCGCTGGAGTCACGTTTTAAGCCAAATAACGTCATTTTCAATAGATAGTCACATTGCGTAGGTACGTCATTGTTATATAAAAGAAAAAGGCTAGTTGCTTTCAAAATTTCAACCACGTATCTCCGTCATTTTCTAATGATTCTGAAAGATGTTATTTTGAAGTCGGTGCTGTCAACAATAGGTAAGCTACATTCCAGAGGTGACTTTCTTCGTATACGACAATGATGAAAACAAGTGACCGCCAGCGATGAGACCTCAGATTAAACCTATACACAGCACCGAAAATGAATCGACACGCTTATCTGACAAGATCGCGGTAAGATGTCGTTTAACAGACGGTTGTTTTTTATATGGGCTAGAAACTCTCACGAGGATAACTAGCTTATCTGCGGCTTTCGTCACCGCTCACCGCAATCACTCAGCGTATTTCCACAAACAGTGGAAGTAACTGTGCCACTGTCCAATCCAGACAGGACGAACTTCAAAAGGACGAGCGACATATGGGAAGCAATTGCAATTAACTTATGAGTTCTGTAAGTGAAGCTGCCATGGCAGTATTATTATTGTGTGGATACATTGAAGCCCGTTTCTCACTGCGAAGTCGCATACATTTTTAGGAAGGCGTTGAAAAGCATCTCGAAGCATAGGCGGTGGAACGGGGAGGGCACCGGGGCATCGTGCCTTTGATTTTGGCATTTTAACATTAGCCCTGTGGGCGTTGCATGGAAAGAATGGGACCAAAAGTCGGCAGTGCCCCCCCCCCTTAACCCGCGACCTGGTGGGGGGGGGGGCTATTTTTTGCCCCCCCCCCCTCCAGACTTTTCGATATATCTCCAGAACCACTGCGCCGATCGTCACCAAACTTTCAGTACCCTCCCGGACATCAATTTTACACATTGTGACCAAAAATTTTTCCAAAGGCTATGATAGGTTGGCTGGAAATGACAGAGTGACGTCATGTTCTGCCGTTTTCGACCCAAAAAAGGGTTTCGCGGGAAGAGCTGTCAGGCCTATAGCTTTGCAAATACAGAAAAATGATACAGACATAAAAGCTGTAGAATGGACAGGGCTACAAAACTGCTATCTCGGATTTTTGAAATTTTTGGATTTTGACCCCCAAAAATCAAAAAATAGATTTTTTGAATATAATAGCCAAAAAATCCAAAAAGTTTTTTGAATTTCAAAAAAACCGGAATATATGTGATAGTCCTTACCGCCTTCTATCTACATACCAAATTTGATATCGATACCTCTTTTTTTGGCCAAGTTATAGCGAAAAAACTGTTCAAAATTGATGACGTCAAATTTTCAAACTCAATTTTCAGCAATTCTAGACCTCGTAGCGCAAAACAAAGACCACCATTAGATTCCCCGTGACGAGCTGCATCGAATCAATACCCATTTTATGCAAAAATATCAACTTTGAAATTTGACCTTTTTTGACCTGACCTTGACCTGACCTCCACCAGAAAGTGACCTAAACCGTACCTGATGGTCTTATAACCAACACCATTGAGTTGGAAATGAAAAACTGGCCATAAAACATGCATCGCATAACCTTAGTAAAGTTGGGTTCATGTGGTGACCCTTGGTGACCTTTGGTGACCTGACCTGTGACCTGACCTGGTATGACCAGTGACCTCTAACAGCAACATATCTACTAGGCAACTGACGCCCTATAGCTGATTCCCGACAAAATGCGTTTTCCTCGGTGTTATAGCGCATTCCCTAGAAGACCCGTGAACGGTAAAACATTTCATCTTTGACCTGACCTGTGACGTCATCGGTGACCCCGAGGTCAATAAAATTTGGTTTCCTTCGACAAATTTGACAGGCCTTTCGAACGCCGTTTGAATTTTTCGGATCCGTCCAGTAGTTTCGGAGATACGAGGGGGGGGGCAAAAAATAGCCCCCCCCCCCACCAGGTCGCGTTATAAACAGACCCCACCAGGGCGCGGGTTAATTGAAGGTGTTCCGCCGCTACTGTCTCGAAGGAGGGCTTGCTGTATCCCATAAAATAGACCGACTGTCTAAAACACTTGTTTTGGGGATGATTCGGTCCATGACCAAGGTGTAGTCTCCCGTTATCGATCAATGTAATCCCAAGAAGAAGAAAAAAAAAACACCGATAATAGTCAAGGCTTTGAAGACTACACGCATTCCGATTTCACCATTCTGAGGTTATCGGTTGGGCTGCCACGCAAGAGTTTTAATATGTTTGTATCATTTCTATTTTTAGCTAGGACTAGCAATGCAGTGATTTTCCTTTCTGGATTTCAGGTCCATGACGGATTTCGGCGGCGGGAGCAGCTGGAACCGGCGTTTATGCAGAGTTGCTGAGCAGTGAGCATCTCGTCACCATTGACCTTCCGTGACCTTGCCGGTCGCCCCGGCGGACTAGCAGCAGCCCGCACTATCGTTGTCATTACCTCCCACGACCGGACGGCCGCGGCGCCCCTTCGGAGCCGGCTGGCGGGCCCGACTGAGCTCAGCGGCGCCGACGGGCCATCCGCCCGGCGACACGGAGCGACTCTCAGCTGATTGGCCGAGCGCCGGCTGGGTACGGAGCCGGGCGGGGGAGGGGGCGATCAGCTGTTGGGGGCGCCGCCGCCGCGCCGGCCGCCGGGCGCCGGCGCTGTGGCCATTCCGGGCTGGGCGCTCGGGCAGTGAGGGAGACTGTCTCCGGGGTCCGCGCGAACCGACCGACTCGAACTAGCGACTGAGGTCTGCCTAACTGCAGACTTCTTCGAGAACTTTACAGTGTTACGGACGCCATGTCTGCGTGCAGCATCTCCAGAGACCTGGGCGACAGCCTGCTCTGCTGCGAGAGTGGTGTGTTTGAACAGGAGCCCATCTGCAAGGCGATCCGCGACCCGGCACTCATCAACGACCGGCGCGTGCTCACCAACCTGCTGGACGCCGAGAGCCGCTACATGGCCTCCTGCTCCTACTTCAAGTGCGTCCAGAACGAGATCAAGCTGCCCATGAGGAGAATCCTGGCCTACTGGATGGTCGAGGTAAGGGAACGGCTCTCACTGGTGTGTGTATGTTTGTACTTGTGTGTTGGGATCGGACAAATGAGTTGAGAAAGGGTGAAGGGATGGACATAGTGGTTTGTTGTTTTTGACGATTTCCATATGTTTTGTACAATCCTTTCCTTATGGTTTGGCGTTGTAACCTAATGGAATTCTTGGATGTTTTGGACGATCCTCTCTCTTATGAATATGTATTGATTATTCGCTTATGGATTCCCTCATGGGCGATTACCCATTCCTTGGTCCACCTTCCGTCTCCGTGTGCTCATACTGTTCACTCCATCAACCGAAACTAAAACGTTTTCTTAAAATAGTAATCGTGAGATGATGTTTTTCGTACTCCAGCGTAGATGGGTAGCCATACGGCTTCCGCGGTTGACAGTACCTGGATAAAATTTGTGTAGCTCTGTTTACACGATAGATTAGATTGAACAATCGATCCACCGATGGGCTTCGAGTTGTCCTGCCAATCCCGCCTACGCATAGACAATCCCGGCTGGATATCTAACTCCGAGCTAGCTTATAGCGCAATCTTCTCTGTCGTAAAATGCGAGAGCGACTTTTTTGTTCTCAATGATAAGCGATTTCGATGAGCTTTCTTTGGAAAACCGTTTTGAATTCGTAATATAAACCCTTTGCTTTTAATTGCTTGTGCGTGCCTTTTGGCATGCCTGTGTGTATCTACCTGATTTGGAAGTGCTCTTGCTGGTTTTGTTGGACAATCAAAGGAGCATACCTCCACTAATCCAGGCATCTGTACAAAAGGATTGAACACATTAGTAAATAATAGCTAGACGATGTAAAGCATGCGAATCATTATTTTGAAGCTAAAATGTCGTGCCATCTCTTTTAGCTTGAGACCGAAATAATGAAAAACGACGAACAACGTCGTTTCGGAAAAGTGGCATTGGCTTGTTTTAAATCCATATAAAAGCCCATCTGAGCAGGGTGTCCAACCAGCGACATCTAAGCAATGAGTTTAATATGTAACACGTTAAAAGCGGGTAAATGCATAAGCCCTTCTAAGCAACATCCATCTCCGTTTTCAGGTGTGCGAGGAGCAACGCTGCCAAGACGATGTATTTCCGCTGGCTATGAACCTCCTGGACCGATTTCTCAGTGTGACCAACGTCAAAAAGGACCACCTGCAGCTACTGGGTGCCGTGTGTCTGTTCGTCGCCTCCAAGCTGAGGGAGACGCGGCCGCTCACCGCAGAAATCCTCGTCCAGTGTGCCGACAACAGCATCAGCGTTCCAGATATCATAGTAAGTCCTCGTATCTTCACATTCCACGGCGATTTTGTTCTGTGACGAGTGAAGTCTTCCGCAAGTTTTCACTCCTATTAATAGATTCTATTCTCTGAACTACCTCCAGCACCGGGCGGCGTGCGCACACAGTCGTGATACAAAGCTGCAGTTTATTTTTACCACCGGCACGACTAGTGTGGCTAGCGACAGACCGAGTCCGGGCCCCGCCGGCGCCGGCCCGCCACAGAGCTCGAACGGCGCGCTTCCTTCAAGGCCACAGCCCGCGCCGGCCGCCCGCCGCGCCGGCCGACCGGCCAGCGCGCGAGCTGTGTGGCCCGGCTGCCTCAGCCGTCGAGTACCGATATACAGCGGGCTGGCTCGGTGGGCTGGCTTGCCTGTCGGTGCAGCAGTACCGGGCCATAACCCGGCTGTTCAAATTTCAAATTCAAACCCGGCCGTTAAGCGGCCGCACCCTACGTCTGCGCGGTCGATAGGAGGCGGCTCCCAGCGCACCCTTTGACCTCTGTGACCTACCCCCTGCCACCGCTGGAGGCAGCGCCCAGTCGCGCGCGCGGCCAGCGTTGTATGGCAACAGGCTGCAACCGCCCATGACTCAGTCTCCTGCCCCCGTCCCTCCGGCCGCCGCTGCTGCAGGGACGGCCATGAGTCACGGTCAAAGCTGACCTAGGCCTCCCGGGCGAGCCTCAACCTGCCTACGAACCGACAGACGCATAGCCCACCACACCGCCTCACTGAGTGAGCGCGGCGAACCCTTCTGCAGTGTGCTGAAACGCGCTGCCATGGCAAGATGGCAATTTTCCGAGTAGCCGTTTCGGCGAATGCACTTTCACTTCGCGGTAGACCGTTAGTGTAGGGTGCGGTATCACCGGGTGCACTGGTAAACTCTGTCAGACTACGGCGTGCCGCGGCCGCGGCTGGCTGGTCGTGCGTCAGAGGCGAGGGGCCGAGCGCCGAGCCCAGTCAGACGTGCTGAATGCTGTCTCTGCCCCCGCCCCCTGACTAATGTCACAGCTTACCTATGTGACTTCGTCTTTCAACAAAATTATCTTCCAGGAATTATGAATATCAATGCATAACAGGGCTGAATTTTCCGTTAATCTTTTGACTTTTGTACAAGAATGTATGTCATGAACATTTTCATGTTGACATTGCACTTCTTTCCCGGAGCTGTTAACCATTTCATGGTTTCCCACACGTCAATGGTATTGAACTACATTTTCCCTGATGATTACGTGGATTTTCTTTCATTCTGGCGAACCGGTCTGCTTATATTTACCCATCGACGTTTTAGCACGATCATTTATCGCTTCGATCTCAGGCTATACGTCGAAGTCGTTTATGTTTATGTCGCTTATTGAGTGCAATGCGCAGCAGTCTCACATCCCATCGACAAATGGTGTCACATGGCACACAATATACAATAGCGCACCGTTACATAAACGGAACTGCCGCTCACAATATAGAATAGATAAACAGACGGGACTATTTATTGATTGGCTGCTCAACGAGGACGTCCTGGCTGTCCGCTGCCTGGGCGATGATGACAGTCACTATTGAATTGAGAAGACGAAACAGGTTATTACCCTGGTTCGTCTTCTTCAGCTAACTAAATAAAGTTCACTTGTTGAGCTGCACGATCAGTCGACTTCAGCTCTGTACTCTACCGCGGCCGTTTGTCTTGCCTAGACCGCATAGGCTCCCGACCACTCCCAGTCCAGGGGTCAGTGACCGGACACATGAACAGCAACGTGACCTGACCGATAGGCACGAGCGGCCGCCCACGTCGGCTCGTGCCCCCACAGACCGTGGCATCACGACTGCCGTCCCGCCAGCGACGGGGCCAGCCATTGATGTATTCCGTTCTACTCTGTGACCCGGGTCACAACACCTCCTAGTCATGCTCTTGGCCGTATTCTTTACCGTTCTCGCTGTCTCCTCTGCGAGCAGTAATAGAACGTCTAAAAAAAATTCCGCCTCTCGCTACACTCCATCGCTGCCTCCGTTTCTACAGCTGGTCTCCGAGGCCATCTGATGGTCGCAGCGCTCGGGTTTTCGCAGCAGTGGCACCGCCGGCGGCTGGCGGGGGACTTCCGGCGACGTCCAGCCGTCTCGGGGATAAATAAACAGACCCGGACGTCTGCAGGCCGACGTTGCTCAATGAATGAGTCTCTGAGTCACCCGCCGTCTGTGGCCCTGGGTAGGGCGCTGTGCCGCGCGGGCCACTGCAGGGCCTCGCTCCGCCGACCTCACGGGGAGCGGGGTGCATCAGGTCAGGTCAGGTGAGCAGCAACTGGAGATGGTGCCGAGCTGTCGCATCTGTTCATGAATGAACAGATGCTGAATGAACATGAATGAACAGCGCCGCTGATCCTCTCGCTTCTCTTGTGTATAAATTTACATTCCACGACGTTTCAGATTCATAACAAACAGCTGGGCCCAGCTCACCAAAGACCGACCCTGCTTTTCTCGGTCGTCTCTGTGTGTGGTTGTAACTTCAGTCAGTGGCAACGGGACATACTGGCGCTCACAGTTGTTCGCAGGTCCAGAGTTCGCGGGTCCGCAGCTCCCGCGCGCGCTCTCTGTCCGTCTGTGCGTCTCTGTTCCTCTCCCCGCCCCTCCGCCGACGTCCGTCCGCCGTCTCCGAGGGGTGGGTAGTTTTTATGTTTCCGCCGTTTCGCCCGGTGCCTGTTTTACCTATATATCCTGAGCGATCTGGGCAAACATCCTGCGAGTCGACAGCCGGCAGAGGCCGGAACGGAGACGGTCCGGGCGTCCGGACAGACCACCGGAGACTCCCGGAGAGACTGCCGGAGACCCTCGGAGAGACCACCGGACAAGACACCGGACATTCCATCGCATAGGTCATCTGACAGCCCGCCCGACAGCGGCTATCTATAGACGAGCACGAACGACAACTCGCTAACTGTGAGAGTGATGGCTGATGAAACTGGAATCCACGACTCTCTTCGTGCCGGGGTGCACCGTTCCAGACTTTGATGTCATTCTGCTCTGGACCGTGTGAATGGTACTGGAAGCATAGTTATTACACGATGCATTCCCCGAAAAGCTTCTTTACGTCTTTGAGAATCAGGAGAACTGAACATACTCCGGTTCCCGACTTAGCACGGTCGACGGGGCCTCTCGTATGCCGTCATTACCGCCGTGACGTATGCAGTGTGCAATGCAATGCCTTGCACACGACACAATCGCTCGGCTTTATCTGGGGCCGGGGGTGGTCCGGCTCGGAAGGGACAGATCTGCCGGCATTTCCGTGAGCCGCAACTAGCTGAACGTGACGCCCGATGTCAATCCTGCTGACGGTGAACTACTTCGCATGACGGGAGTAAAAGCTTAAACGTGCTTGCGGCTGCGAAAGCCGATGACAGGCATGCATGCATATGTACTTTTGTAAGACGCACGAGCAATGCGAAAAATCGGCACTGAGAGTCAACCCTTGGAAGTTGCCCTTTAAAGCTGCCGATCACAGGAAAAGGTGCACACGTCCTTGATTCTTAATATGGATCCAGACCTACCACAGCTTGGTCCGCTGATTGAGTCGCACTTCATTTTGATGGATTAGCATCATAAATCAACTTCAGAGGGGAGCCAACATTATCCCATTTTATCACACGTCGGGTGAAGCCGGACCAGGAAAATATTCAGAATATCTGGAATGCGACTCATCTTCTGCTGCGATGAGATTCCTGTTACTTTTTTTCTCCTGTTAATTAGCTCGACTTCTTTTTTAAGGACGCAATAAAGAGCGTAATGTGGGCCTCGTCACAAGGGCGGAGTGGCCGCTGTGATGGTTTAAAGCGCTGCTGGTGCGGCCGTGGCCACCGCTCTCTGTTCTCTGGCCGTCTCTGGCAGCCAGAGATCAGATCAAGACCAGTTCTCCTCGGAGAGCTAAATCACTGCCGTCAGGTTCATGGCCAGACGTTTTTGTCTGCGGTCCCAGAGAATACATTTAGTGGTATGGTCTTTCTCTCCATCCTACAGCAGCTCTCACTGAAATAACCGCATGTTATATCTCCTCCCTTTCTCTTGTCTCTTCTTTTATCTTTTTTTTTGTAACAGCGAAGGCTCTGTCACGCACTGGTTCGTATTACACTTATTAGTTCATCAGCATCGCTCAAGTGCTATTAAGTGTGTGCATCATTCAACGTTGTTTTCCTTGATAATGTGAGCTGCCTGATGCTTCCGACCTATACCCTATCGTTCATCCCAATAGGATCGTTAAGTGGTAGGTGGAGCGTAGCCTATAGACTAGCGATAACCATCAAACGCAAGGCCATTTCATTCCACCCATTCTCGCAGCTATGAGCACCCTTTGGCGCTGCGTGGGGGCTGTTTTAATGAGGAAGGAGTTCATCGTTTTGTTCAAGGTCCTCCTAATGGGTTGTATGGCCTGCGGTATCCGAAGTCCTCCCTGTCTGACTTCTGAGTGGAAGGAGTATGCCTCCTCCACAGGAAACCCATGGAGATCGGTTCTTCTCCTCAGGCGATCCCCGTTCTTCAGTATTATTTTCCCACTAGCTATTGTCACTGGTCCCAATAATTTGGCCCTGTAGCGGGTCGTCCGACTCCACCCCTTTCATCAGAGGCATTGTGTGGAACAGGGAGTGAGAAACAGAGGACACCACCTGTTGGTCCAATGTGACGTCACGACGCCGGAAACGGGCATTTTCCGGTCCGTCTTACAAGGGGAGGGGTCGCTTTTTACGCATCAGTTTCCGTGCAAAGTGCACGTTTTGTAGCAGGTGAAAATGGGGAGCACTCGCCCAGGACTTTATGGTAGGCAGGGGACGCGAGGATGGGCCTCTTCAAGGTGAAAGGATGTCCTGCGACCGACCGAACTTCAGGCTGTCCGCCTGGATGTGGCATGTCCTTACGACTGGCAATTACGCTCCTATTGTGCCGCGTGTTTGACGCCGCACTTCTCTCTCACATTCGTATGCTCGTGCCGTCCAGTGTCGCCTTATAGCGCGACGTCGTCCTCCGCGTGTCCGGCACACCGTGAAGATGCGATGGACACTCGAGTCCATCACCAGGGCTGGCACTGAGGAGTCACAATTAATGCCGTCACGGCCTTCGTGAGAACGCCGCATACCGGTGATCCAGGCTCGAATTAACAACACAGGCACCCGTTTATTGGAGGCGGTTCGGACACAAGAGTCAGGAAGGGTCGCCGCGTATTGTATACCTCGACGACCAGGAAAGGTGACCAGTGTCCTCTGGCTGGCACCTGACTCCGGACGGTCGTTCTGGAACTCCGGCCACCCTGGCGCTGGAATGGTTCTTTCCGGCGTTCGAAATCCAGGTGATGACCGCCAGAAATGCCCATTGATCCTCCTTTACTGGAGCTGCAAGGGCAAAGTTATGGGTGCGCGTCCAGTGCTGATGTCGACCGTCTGTATGAAACGTCGGTCTCTGTACCGCCCAGGGCGATGCACTGCGCCGAGCTCGGTCGACGCGAGACGACCGCTCGTAACCTGTCGCTCCTCACTGACAGACGCGCACCTGCGGCGGTGGCCCGGGGCCTGGACTGGCTCGAGCCGACTGCGCCCCTTCACCACCTGCACAGCGATCATTGCACCGGCTGCTCCGGGCTCCATGGATAATTTTTATGTCTCGTCAGAGTGCGAACGAGGTCCCGGAGGCCAGAGTCGACGTCTAGCCCGTCTCCAGGGCCGGCGGTGGTGTGTCGCAAGCTTTAAATGGCACCGCTGTGCCCCATGACCTGGCGACCTTGGTGGGCCGATCGGCCCCGAGAGCCGCCGTCGTCGCGCGGAGGCCGCACCAGGGTCAGACCGAGTCGCCAGACAGCGGGGAATGAGATTCGGAGGTGGGCTCACGCGTGACAGGTGCGATCCAGCCCAATAGAGAGTGGGAACGGTGCTCGTGCGTACTATTGAATGGAAGAGAGAGAAAGTGGGAGAGGGAGCGAAAGAGGTGACAAAAAAGGAGGAAGTGAGAGGGAGACCCTACCGATCAATTGAATCTTCTTTTTTTAATCAAATAAGGCATTACCTCTCTGGCGGTTGTTTCCGTCATCAAAAATGAAACTTGTTGCCTTCCGTCGAACCCAAAGAGAGACCTATGCTCCGCAACCTGTGTCCAATACCCGACCGACCAGACCTGATTTCCCACTGTTTGTTGCCGTTTCCCGGACGGCCTTGATTGTCCTGCACCTCTCTGCCGCTTCGGTCGTTGTCTGTTTGCCAGACAGGGAGCCGCAGTGCGGCGCTGTGGTTATGATCCACTGTTCACTGTCCAGGATGTGCAGCTACTTGTCTCTGGGAACTTTATTCTATGTTTTCTGTGGCGGAACCGTCCAATGTTTAGTGGGCTGGCCGGGGCGCTGGCGACTGCTGAACGGTATCGCCACATCACTGGAACGTGGCGCACCCGAAGTCGAGATTGTCGTCGGCTCATTTGAATAGTGGCGTGGCGGATAATTAAAGCCGGCTGACGGCCGAGATGGCTCGGTGGTTTTGATGGCTGCGTGACGAGATGAATCGCGGCGTCAGATGGAGATTGTGACCGATATGAGGTCACCAGGCGGCAGTTCTGTCAGCCGAGGCGGCAGTTCCGTTCTGATGTAGGCACACAGCTTGTAGCTAAAACAAACAATGCTTGGATGTTATGCTTTCGGTTCTCAATATCTTGTGCGAATAATCGCTGCGATATGAATCCCGCAGTCTTAGTAACGCGCTTTTTTCCTCTTTCTCAGGATTGGGAGCTGCTGGTTCTCCACCGGCTACGATGGGAGATCAACGCCGTCACGTCACACGACTTTCTGGACCCGCTGTTGCACCGCCTGTCGTTGGAGCGGTACCTGTCGTCCTCGCGCGTGCCGGACGTGCGGCGGCAGGCCCAGACCTTCATCGTCATGTGCAGTACAGGTGAGTTCTCCTTGTGTCTAGTGAATCTGTTTGCGCTTCCTATCAAAAGGGATCCAAAGAAGAAGAGACGGAGGCAGACAAATCGAGGTCAGCGAGGATGACTGATGCAGTGCGGGTGTCGGGGAGGGTTGGGGTGTCATTGAGCGGCGGAAGTGGGCGTGGTGCCCGGCGTGTGGCTCCCGGGGCGTGCCAGATGCTGTGGCGTCCCTCTGGAAACCCGATCGGCGCGGTGCGGGGCGACCTGCGGCCACTTGCCGGCCACTTGTCAGCGGCGTCTGTGAGCGCCGCGCCGGCCGCCGGCTCCCAGCTGCCCGGCTCCGTCAGCCGGGGTTCCGGAGCCGGAGCTGCTCCCCTCGCCTACGGCCGGCCGTGGCTCCTTTGTCCGCGACTGCGGCGGCCCTTCTAACCCTGAGGAGCCCCTGGCGGCGCGGCGCGGCGGGGCCGTCTGCTGCGCAGTAGGCTGCGCGCAGCGGGACGGGCTCTCTCCAGGGCGCCCTGGCTGGAGCTGGCCCTCCACCACACCGCTCTTCTAATGAACCGCGCACCGTAGGCAGGACAGTACCTGCAGACTGCAGAGACCTCCACTAGTAGAGGTGCAGCTCAATCAGGTCATGTTTGCGAAATTCTGAACAGCAACTCTTGCAACTACAATCTGCGGCATGCTTGTTGGTATGTCGGATCTCTTGGTTAGACAGGACACATTCTGGAGATCTGGGAATCCAGGCACATCTCCACGGTAGCATCATTTCTCATATGCCATATGACGAAACGGCTAAAAAATGCCGCCTCATGTCGTCGCCAAGCGGGATGAAGAATGTCAGACACATAAGTCATTCCAAACCCTTCGGCAGGCATTCCATCCATTCCCAGACGGATAAACTGCCTTCCAAAGGGTGCATCCGGTGAGCTTTCAGCCTTGAATGGCCTTATGCCGAACAGCAGGCTTCCTGAAAGGCGCCGATGTCAAATTTAAGTCTGAAAGGATGTCTCTGTGGGTCACCTTTTCAGCGGGACCTTGAAGAGGTGGCTAAGGGGCCGGCGCGCCACCCTGGATCATTGTCTGCCCACTCAGCTGACCGGACCGACTTCACAGGGAGTTCAGTGTGATATTGGCAGCGTGGCCTCCGTTCAGTGGACCAAAGTCGTGTCGGCAGTTGTTCAAGGTCTGTCCTCGCCGGACCTTTGGGCGGCATACCATTCGGTGCCTGTGTGACTGAATAACGAGCTGGACGACACTGCTCTGGCATGCCGGCCTCTCAGGAGGGCGAACAGTGTCCATCTCCCCTTTCCCTTCGATGACCTCGCTGCGCACTGCTTGGCACTGCTTGTGGACTGTGGTATGGCAGGCGCGTTTATGTGGAAGGTATAGGTGATTTCACTGGCATTGTTCAGTGCTGGTATTTGTCGTCCTCTCACATATACATTTCGGTTTTGATGTTTCGGTGTTCGTTCTGAATTTTCTCAATGCAAGAGTAAGCCCTTGGTGGGTTTCCAAATGTTGCTGTGATGTTTTTGGGTAAACAAAACGGACATGAGTTGCTGAGCCTTACATAGTCAACCGGAGTTGAGGCGTTCGATCCGTGCCGGTTTCTCCCACGGTCCTCAGCCTGTGGACCCCCGGTCAGTTAGTACGATGGGGGGGGGGCTGTAAGAAGCCGGCCAGCGCTCCGTGTCGCGCCGGGGGACCCTCGCGCCGGACGGAGCGACAAGGTCACGTCGGAGCGCGACGACGAGCGGCCATTGTCAACGACCTCCGGCGCAGTCCCTGAACCTGGCCGCCGCTGTAAAAAGACGGAGGCCATCGGCGCGGGCGCCCCCGCCCACCAGTCCTGTTGTCACCGCTCCTTCGGTGGCCGTGCTGTCGTCTCTATGGTATAGCCTTCGACTGTCCGGAGACGGTCAGTCGCACTGTCCGTACATTCAGCGGTGTTTCTTCTAGTGACTGGCTAGTCGAAGCTGAGGAGGTCACCCGCCTCTGACCCCGGCTGCTGTGCGGGAAATTGGAAGGACGTGGCTGGTGAACGGTGGCCAAATGTAACCCATTCGTCTCCCTGCATGAGATATCTGGCCTCGGCGGGAGGTGCTGAGGTCTGACTGGGTGGGCCGCTGACTGCCGCGCTTCCTCATTCATTGAGATTGAGGCGAATGGACTCCCGACATGCGATTTACATATGGTTATTCTTATTTAAATGGATGAAATAGCTGATAAAATTAATTAAGCTTCCTGTTTGTTGAATGGAATGGCATAGAGTAAAACTGCCCTGCAATGTGCGCATAAGCCTGTTATCCGGACGTTGACGCCGGCGCTGTGGCTATCGTCCCTGTCGCCGGGGGCCGGTACCGCGCGGATTCCATGTCTGACTACCCGCCGAGGGCCTCTGGTTAGTCCGGAGCCGCCTCCTTTGTGTGCCAGCGCCGCAGAAGAGGTGGCCGATTCCCGGGTGAAGGTCCCGCACGCGCCTAATCGGTCGATATCGGGTCTCTCGGAAGCCGGTCGGCTCCTGGCTGTGCGTCGGCCATGTGAAAAGCCTCCCAGCGGGTCGCCGCAGCCCAGCGCGAGCCCTTCCCGACAGCGCCGCCTGCGGCCGCTGGTAGTGACATGGCGCCGCTGAGCCGATAGCGGCGCGTCGGCGGCGGTGGCGGCGCACTGTGCGCCGTCACCCGGCGGTGCGCTAAAGACCGTCCCTCTGCCCACGCGGTGGTCGGGTAGGCTTTCATGTGGGCCGGCAGCGCTGGCCAAGGGACGGAGCGGCGACCTCCGCGCCTTTGTGCCGCACCATCTACACTGGCCCTGAACTTGCTTCCGTCGGCTGGTGGCTTGGAAAATCTGAAAAATGATCTGCCGAGCTGTGTATTAGTAGTTCAACTTCAAAGGTTTTTCGGCTGACAGTCGGGTACTTGGGCCCCGTCGGTGTATGGCTGGTCTTCTTTCAAGAGGTGGCAAATGATGGTATATCCCAATTCGCATGTCACTGAGTACGACTATCACCGCCAAGGCCATGACGTGCGTGTCTAAGCGCTTAGCTTCATGCGACGTGCCTGTTCGGTGTTTTAAGTGCTCTATCACCGGCCGAAGTTGGCTAGCAGGGTGAGAATGAGTGGACACAAGTGGGCGTCGAATAGGAGTGAGTCGATTCACGATGAGAACGTCCCTCGAAACGATCCGGACCGGTGCTCTCGTCGGCACTTCACCGATCTAATTGGGGGACTTCCGTGGGGACATTGCCCAACGCTGAAGGACAGGGGCTCTCCAAAGCTGCGGTCCTCTTTTATTGCCGCGCAGAGGCGAGGCGGAAAATTACGACAGACACCTGGCATTTTCTAATAAAGTGGTGTGCCTATTGGCTGAGCGGCACGATAGCCATTAAATAACACATCCAGAGGAGGCGAGTGCCGATTGGGACACACCCAGCAGCGGAAGCCACATCAGTCCTTGAAGTTTGTGGCCCCATTTCAGCCTGGTTGCCACCTGGTCCGAGCGCGTGGCGCCGGTGACCGCCTGCTGACGGAATGCGCCGTGCGCAGCCCGCGTCTGCCGCCAGCCACCGACAATTGCCCCGTCCGAATGCCACAACTACGATAAAGAGCGAGCCGCGAGCTCCGGCGGCGGCGTTGCCGAGGCGGTGATGGACCTGCGACCGCCTCCGGCGAGGTCACGAAACTCCGTGCGCTGATCGGGGCCGCGCCGGTCGCGCTTGACTGGAACCGCGAAGCCTTCTGAGACACTTCAATGGTAGCTGGACGGCTGCCGTTCTCACGAGGTGAAGGATACAGCGGCCATGGCCTGGTTATGTGCCGACAGTGTGTTGGTTGTGTTGGCTAATGGTGATGTTCACAGTTTTTAATCAGTGAGTCGTCATAATGGCAGAATAATTGAAAAGGCCACGAAACAGCCTTTTACGCGCGCTGCGCCATCGTAAAGGCCTGACATACCGAAGGTGATGACCAAAAAACGCCTCATCTGTGCGAATCCTTTGGATAAAAACCATAATCCCTCCTGCTTCATGGCATTGTTGGCGCTCTCAAAGTAATCGATCAGTTTTTGCATGCAAAAACGCTTAATACCGTGACATCGAATGAGTTGATTGATTTTGGGTGGGCACTCTTCAGGCCTGACTGCGGGAGGCGGCCGCTCGTGGGGTCGGCCTCTTTAAACTCTACATTACCCGAGGCCCTCTGAGCGGCAGTTCCCAGCTGACGAGACTGCCTTGTAAAGAATCCCCGCCCCCCGAGGCAGCTCTCATGGAGCCGGCGCTCTTGGACCTTGAGCTGTCGGTCGTGCAGATCACCGGCGGGCCCCCGCCGAGGCTGCGATGGCCGGTCGGGTCCCGGCTCTCCGCGCCGCCGCCGCCCGCCCTGCAGGCCGCGGTGCCGGCAGATTTGTCGGCCGGCACGCTCGGCCCTAGCCGTGCCGCGACGAGCACCCCGACCGAGAGGACAGAGGAGCCGCCCTCCTCCGCGCCCTCCGCTACCACCCGGAGACTGGAGGTATGCGGATACACCGGACATTGCCGACTGACGACATGTACGAGCGTTGTGAAACTGTCCATGCAAATATACGGCATGTTCAAACATATTGGCCCAGGTGGCGACCATGCCATGATTTGACTGCATGCGTCGTGAGATGGTGGCTACCTTGGGCTCGCAACAGTCTCATGAATCGGGCACATCTGTACAGTATGATGCTAGCCCAGCTAGTTTCAACAGTTGTCCTGTCTCCAAGCTGTGGTCGGCATTTGAAATTGATCAACCTTTATGGGAACGAAGTGAAGAGCATTAGAAGAGCATTTCACGAAGTGCTTTTGTGAGAAGTCTTCTGTCGCCGGTGATTTGACGTCTTTGACGTGGTGACGTGACCGAGCGGTACCGGGCATCTCGGGCCCACCTGCTGCCAGCCGTGTATGTGCAGGCATGCCGGTGCACCTCCCACGCAGTACGCCCACGGAATGTTTTGGCACACCGCCCAACTGGGCTCGGCCCTATTGGTCAAACCATTCGCCACTGGACGGACTGGTCCGGGAGAGAACGTCTGGAGAGCTGGGGGAATATCTTGGAGAGTTAGAGGGTCCGTCCAGACAGATAGGTCTGTCGTGAAGAAGTGGAAGTTGCGCGGAAGATCTGAGATGAATAGGGTCTGTCTGAAAGTTGCTAGGACTGGTATGGAGCGGTTTTTGATTCGCACTGTGTAGTGTAGGGCTGTGTTCGCCCAACTGAATCCATTCCTTGTGGGTGGCCGCCCGGCCCGCCCGGCCAGACCTTGTCGTGCCGAGTCGGTCGTGCAGCGCCGCCGAGGACACGGCGTGACGCACGACCGTCACGCCCGGCCGTGACCGGCGTGACGTCACAGTCCGACTGTGACGGGTGGCGTCTCTGGGACGGGTGTGACAGCCGCTGCCATCAGCCGTCATCCGTCAGCTGTTAGCCGTCAGCCATCAGCCGCCAGCCGGCGCCGCGGCTGATGACATCAGGTGGCCATGCATTGCAGATGTGCAGCGGTGCCAGTGGCCGGGCGCGGACGAACGTCCCTCGAGAGCGTGCCGCGGGCCGGTCACAGGCCGGCCTCGCGTCACGGCCGGAAGTGTCTGGCAGCGGTCGGCGGGCTTTGATTTGGGCCGGGCGCGCGTCCCGCCGGGACGGGCCTGACGAGCCTGGTGTCGGCGGCTGACGGGGGACCGCCCAGTGGACAGCTCCCCAGGCGCCACTGCCGGCCGGAAGCAGCGTGCAGCCGGCCGCGCGGCGGCGGCGTGGCTGTGTTTGTCGAGGCAGATTAGTGAGCCGCTATCGGGAGACGGCGGCGGTAGGTGGAAGATACCTGCGATGGATGGATGAGGCGACTCCGTGTTCGGCTGGATTCTCTCGGCGGTTCACCGGCCTCACCGCGTGCCACCCCATTCATGGCTCGCCGTGTGGGACGAGTACCGATGTCGGACGAGGGGCCCGGTCGCGAACGGCCGACCGCTGCCGACGTCAGCGGACATTTCGACTGTCGTTCGGTACTTGGCTGCGCCTGCCAAGTGGGCGATACATGGCCGATAGCACCGGCTGTCAAGTCGTGGCGCCGACGATAGCAGGCGGATGAATGAGCACCGCCGCCGCGCCGGCACCGTTCCGTTTCCCGCGGCCCTGTTCGGGTGGACCGTGTCACCGGGGCCGGTGCACGGCAGATAGGCCGGCCGGCCGGCGCGCTGGGCGGCCGGCCCGGTGACCGGCGCCGCTCTCTCTCTCTCCTCAGGTCTGTTTGTCCGGTGACCGAGATCCGGCACCGGCGCCGGCCGCTGACGGTGTTTACCCTCTCAGAGGCGGCGGACGGCCAACAGCCTTTGAAGCCGGCAATAAACGCACCTTCCGCAGATGAATGGCCATTGTGCGCGCCAGATGGAGTGCGCCGCAGTTGTAGACGGGTCAGTGGACCGGTGGCAGTGGGTCAGTAATGTTTCCGCGCAGATAGACTGCAGATACTTCCGTAGGTCACCTCCATAAACTGGACTCAGGATGGCGGATGGCTGGGATAGCAGTTGAACTCAGGTCGTGGCCTGACGGCACTTGGAAACACTGGTTTCGTTTAGTGAGGCTTGCTGTTTTCACTTAATAGCTGTTCATTCTTTCTTTCTTCTAATATGACTGGATCTCTGCCATGATGGTTATCCTGCAGTTCAAAACAGGGCACACTACAGATCACCGCCACCATAGGGCCGACCAGAGCTTGCCAAAGCTAGTCGCCAATCCGTCGAGTCCGTAGCTTATGGATGAAACCTATTATGTCGTCCAATTTGGTGGTCCAGAACCACCGTCATCCATTCAGTGTTGTATTGTCCGAAACCCTCATGGAGCTCCCCGGAACAGGTGGCCGGCCCGGATCCGGTACTCATTACTATCCTCATCGGTTTACCGAGACGGCACACACAGCCGAGACGGTGCGGGCAGCTAATCACGACCGCGGAAGGGTTCACCGACAGAAGGGTTCCACAGTCTGGGTCGGCCAGGACCACCCAAACTAGGGCACGGGTCGCCATTCAGCGTGGAGGTACACCGGGGAGTGGCCCAGTTCCCGTGCTCCCCAGATATTAATTGTCCCGCCCACCGCCGCGCCGACCCGCTGGGACTCTGGTTGTGCGCTGGCTCCCGGTTCTAGAGGAGAGCTGCCGCAGATTACTGCGGGCCACGGTGGGCAAGGCGGGCGGCAGGCTTCCCGCCGCCCACCCGCGTGGGGCAGCCGCTGTCTCCGGGTGACACTTTCGCCGCAGTGACGGATGGCGCACCGCTATCGCCGCATCGTGTTGACGCGCACCGGATCCGCCGCACGGGCGCTGGAATGTGTTGCAGAGGGCGGCGCAGAGCTGCGGCGTGCAGTAACTGCGCCAAACATAGAGCCGAGTCGCTCCTCACGGCTGACAAACCCGGTCACCGGAATTTCAACTCAGCTGTACACATCTGTCTGTGTTGCTTAGTGCTGTTTTGGACGTCAGACGTGGTGGTAATAGATGTGTTTTCTTGTTTCAGAATTCAAGTTCAGCATCCACACCCCGAGCATGGTGGCGGCTGCTAGCCTGGCGGCGGCCGTCCAGGGCCTGCTGCCGGCCAGCCGGGAAGGCGCCATGAACGGCATCTTCAGCCAACTACACCGCATCACCGCCGTCGAAACGGTAAATTTCCGAGACGGGCTGTGACTGTTTGCCTTCTTAGGACGCAAACCTACACCGGGCCATCCTATCCTATCCTTGTCCTACGGACGCTGCGGGTAACGGAATGACGTTGAGCAGTTCCTTGATGCACTGCACTGGCTGAAGACGAAACTATAAGAGGACGAATTATAGCTACGTATTCGTACCCAGTTGATAACCATTTAGCTTCGCGAATTTGCTATTCACTGCTCAGCACGCTTTGTTGTGAGGTCGGTAAATGAACCCCACAATGTGCCAGCTCGTGCCCTTGAAACGCGAGCTCCCCAGCACGGTTTCTAGCAAGACCGGAGCCTGTTTTTGGCATCTCCGGCTGCTGCGGGCAAAAAGAGCCCTCCGCTAACCAGGTCGTCCCACAGGTCTCGCGTTACGGGAAAAAGCTGACCAACATTTATTTCAACAACAGCCGAGACAACGGGTTGTGGTGTGCATAATCACAAAACGCCTGAGAAAGGCCTCGCCTGGGAACTGGGCGGAGAGCAAAGAGAGACGAGTTCTTGCGTGTAATCGCTCAACACACTCATCCAGGCTCATCGCCTTAGTTGAATGCTCAATTACCTGCGAAATTATCGGATTATCCATCGATTATTCTGATTACTAAAGTGACATTCATTCAATTGTCACTCGCTTCCAGTATTTTTTCGTCCTCGTTGTTGTCAACTGGCAAACTGCGGAGTGCCGAAGTTTGGTCGGCCGGCCGGGTGTCCTATGATGCACCTGTGAGTTATGCCGCACATCAGGTTGCCCGGGCCTGTTGGCCTTGCAAAGCTATGCCGCCGCCAGGAATTCAGCAGTTCACAAGGCATTCGCCGGCCTTGAAGGTGCACATGCGGTGGGCCAGGAAGCCAGTTTCTGAGGAATCGTAATGTTTGTCGTGCAGATACTGGCGACGTTTTTGATATCGGTATGTTTGGCGAATCTACTGGTGGATGCTATGACGAATAGCTGAGTCGACATATTTCGATCGGTGCTGGCTGGAGGATCATTCATGCTCCTTGGTTAAGTGCGCGTATGTTTCTGAGTAGGTTGCACAAAAGCTATAAATCGGGGCATCCAGTAGGTACTCTGCTGAGGTCTGATCATATACTCTGGTCAGGAGTAGTTGAGTGAAGTGAGGAGAACGCAAATGTTCCCGCTCGGTCAGTCTAGTGGCGCTAGATACGAACCCTCAGGGATCCAGACGCATCTCACCACGGTTAGATACCCGCTGTGAGGAGAGATGAGCCTTTAAACGCTGAGGTCACGGGATGCTCCGCTGCCTGTCCTGTCCTGGTCGCTTCAGTCGACTGGCACTGTCCCCAGCACAGAGGCCCGGCTCGACGACCTCTAATTCGAGTCAATGGCACCCTTTCAGGAGCGTTAACGCGCGTGAAAATTCCGACCGCCGAAAACAAAGTGCCATGAAGGGAGTTTTTGGGCAGCTCTTCTGGTGGGCGCTGCGGAACTGACCTTCGGCGAGGCGTTCACCCCGGGGACAGGCGGTCCCCGCTCTCTGGGGCCCTGCGCACCCACCGTTCCCACGAACTGTAGACGCGGCGGGCGCGGCCGGGCGGACACTATGGGTGTCCCAGCGGGCTGTCCGCGCTGCCGACAGGGGTGTCTGCCGCCCCGGAAGGAGCGCGCCGCCCAACTCGATAACGCTGCTCCGCCGAGAGAGAGATTCTAGTCCGACCAGCCCCGACACTCACCTACTGATAGCGGGGCGGTAGCGGAGCGTGATACATCGCGTGATGGGCACACGGCGCGGGTGATGCGATCGTGGCTGAGCCCCTCGTGCCGGCAACCAAATCTGGCTCAACTTTTCCGCAGATCATACTTGTAATACTTCATGGTATTTTTCGCGTGACCGATTTAGTTGATGTACTTAAAGGCCGCCGCTGCGAGGCTTGGCGACGGTCACAGACCACAGTTATGACCAACTCCATTCTTTTCATCTTCTCATGTGCGTTTTTATTTGCCGCAATTGCCGCTGTCACAGTTCCATCAGCGCATTACCAAAAAAGACGTCCGTTTAACGTAGATAGATACAGTGGTTGTTCGCTTTATTGTTATTCACTGACGGATGCTTGATTATGGCCAGGCTATGACTCCATGCTGTGCCTGATGTCCGCGCTCTGACTGACCGCCTGATGCTGACGTGGTGCCCCTCCTGTGTTCCAGGACCTGCTGCGCGGCTGCCTGGACCAGATCGAGGAAATGATCCGCGAGTTCACTGCCGAGCAGAACAGCCGCGCTGCGGCCGCGCCCGGCTCCGACCCGGCCGCCGATCTGTCGGGGGAATACCAGACCGCCGAGACGCCCACCGATGTGCGAGAGGTGCACTTCTAGGCCGGCTCATCGGCCGCCTCCTGCAGCCGTGACGTCACCCACCCGTGTGACGTCATAGCCGCGGTCACGGGTTCGTGCGCGTGGAACTCGCCAGCACCTCCTCGAGTCGCCTCGACTGCCATCGTCTAGTCGTCTGCAGAAAACAGCACACAGGGACAAGCTGGTTTTATGTTTGGCCAAGGTGCCGCCTGCGCTCAACAGGGGTGCCCTAGTATTCGATGCTCTGGTATCGTTTTTATTGCGTTCATTTTGGGCCTAGATTCGCCAAGGTCGATTCGGGGGCAGCTGGTGGGTTTCACGGACTAAGAGGCCGCTAAAACGGCCAACACTCCTCACAAAATGTCAGAGGTTCGACTAGTTCATGATATTATATCAGCACATATGTAGCTTTTCAAAAGTATTTAGGATTGTAGTGTACGAAAATTTAATCGAAAACATTAGTGTGCTGATAAAGTATCCTGAACTTGCATACCTCCTCCATTTTGTATGGACTGTGAGTTGTTTTGTCCGGTCCGCGCACGGGCCTCTCTCGTACCTTGGTGGGGTTTCGGCGGCCCTCCTCCGTGGCTCCGGCCCGGCAGTCATCCGTCGTTAGTCGATATCTGTATATAACTGTGAATGTGATACGGTGTGTCCGTGAAGCCCGTCCGGTGCAGACCACCAGAGCGTCGCGCCGGACGTCAGAGTACAAAGTCGGCTGCCGCCGGGGCGTCGGTCCGACACTGACCGGGGCCGCACGGCTGACCAAACAGCCGCTGGGTCACGCGGTCAGGTCGGGGCGGCGCCCTGACTGGCAGCCGTCGTAAGTTAGTCCGCGTCTCGCGTTCGGGGTTCAATGGGGAGAGGGGAGGGTGGCGAAAGGGATCGGAGTGGGGCCCAGCTCTGGAATCAGGCAGGTAGTGTTTTATCTCAGGTACGGGGGACCGGCGGGCGGCGGGGCGCCGGCGGCCGGGCCGGGTCAGGTCGGGTCGCCGGTGGCCACCCCGTCCGCCGGCTCAGGACGGCACGATCAGGCGCAGTGGTGTGTACCTCCGCGGACAGAGCACTGCCACAGTAGGGGGTCGAACGGGGGCCGGCCATCCCCGGCCGGGCCGACACTGCGCGGCTCGGCTAGAACCAGTGTTATGTTTGTCAGTGGCGTTAGAACGACATCGTACGCGCTGGTTTAGGTGTTAACATAGCGCTCGTTTTAATGACGGTCTAAATATATCTATATTTTAGGTGTGTTGCGCGTGAGTCGTTTCATGCCCTTGCTTATCTTTGTCGTGTTTCGCTAGTTTGCGGCGCCTTGGTGGACCGACGTCAGGCAGCCTTATTGAATGGATGGAACTTACGCTTACGATCTGTACCTCATGAGTTTGTTTACAAATACACGAAAAATTTGTACTCTCATCTTTGGTAACTGGTGAGTCGTGAGTGGAAACTGGTGAAACACAAGGCTGAGTGATAAACAAATGTCACGAGAAGTTGTAACAAGGCAAATCGTGCCGAAGGAAGACTGATTCGACGAGCACAAACACATGCTGCAGTAATTAATTACATCTTACTTTCGAGCTATGGAAGTGCGTTTCATGGATTCAGAGGAATGTGTCATAAAAATTAGACTAACCAGGCTATATGTCAATTAACGACAAAGTTTATTCAAACGGTCCACCTATGAACCACGCGGGTCGGCGCTGGCACAGGGAGGGAGCCTGACCTCTGACCTCGCCGGAGGGACTGTGGTGTCACTGGTGAAGGGCAGGGCGCTGAGAGTCGAGCTCAGTGCAGGCAGTGAGAGCGAGTGGACTGGCTGAGGTGGTCCACGGATCTGTGAGCGTACTGCGAACGTCGGGACAACATCGTATCACATCCCCAGGCCCCAACAACAACTTCAAACGCCCAGCGGCGCCCAACAACAACGAGACGGCAACTTTTTCGGGCTACACTACAGGTATCGTCCCGCGTTTTGCGACGCCACACGCTTCTGTTGCTGGCACTGACAATATCTATTTTCCGGGAGGGCTGTCTTCCATTGATGCATATGCTTAACTCCATAAGCGCTTACGCTGACAAGCCACTGTCTGACAGCCTGTGCGTTTGTGCTAATGGATTTCACGTTCCATTATTCAGCACCCATGCCATTATGCGCAGAATTGTCTTCAATTACGGATGTCTCGCTGCTGAGCCTCTATGTGCTTCACGACTAGCTCAGTCACCGAAAGAGCTGTCTCTGGGGAGGAATGGGATAATCCCAATCAGCAGGACCCATGTTCAGCGACTGGTCCTGTTTCTAGCAGACACAGAACTCACAGCTGGTCCAGCTCTCTTACCGACAGATTTGTCACTCTGTTGGCTGAGACACCGACAGATTAGGGCCGTTTGTCCAGCACGGCAACAGGCGCTGCCAATCCTGATCTACTGCTCCAGCCGCCGACACCTGACGAAAAATCCGCATAGTTTCTCACGTAGACCTTTCAGCTTATGACTTGTGACTTCGGGAGTTGTCACAGCGCATTTGAAACGTATGGTTGGCAATATTATCACGGACAGGTCAGCAAGATCGAGATGATTCAGGTGTGCGTGAACGTAAATGGTGATAGTTCATTTGCACTTTCCGCAGGAGATAGGTCCCGTGCAGTCAGAACATATCTCAGTGAAACTGTTTTCAGGTGCCACAGGCCCAATAGATTGACCCATCATTCAGTGGTGACAGTGGTGGTCATACAGCGTGCCGGGGTGCCGATTCGTCTCGATCCAGGCTCTGTTTGAACACGGCTCAGCCCGCCATGTCGGACCAGCCGGTCTCAGTTTACCTCGGAGTCCGACATTCGGTATGGCTGACGTCACCTCCTGCTGATGATTAACCTTCCCCAGCGTGATTTATAGCGTTGCTACCAAGTCGGCACAATGCTTGCCTGACAGCGGTTTTGGTAATGAAAGGGCGGAAAGTAGACGGTTTGCTGTCGCTAAATGACTGAAGTTCGTGTGCATTGTGTGTTTCAACGCCGCTCGACTAGCCGAGCCTAGATCGAAAGGAAACTACACAGACAAAACATGTGTTTCTATGCCTGCTTTACCTGGTGGGGCTTTATGCCGTATATAGCCGTCCCCATTCGGCGCAATCAATCGTCACAAGCGACCGGTCATGAGCTGGACGTGACTTCCGCTGTGTTGGACGGTTACCCTTCGAAACAACTCACTTTGGTTGGGAACAAATAGTCGCCGTCACCGCTGCCACAGGAGGCCGTCAGTCACCGTGTCTCAGGTGGCCCGGCGGTCGCCCACTCTCTGCCACAGGTCCGTAATCTCTGTGTGAAAACAGGACTCTCTCGAGCAGCGACGCTCCGTGGTTGGACGGATATTTTTGGTGGCGTATTGACACGGATGTCGGATGCCGCTGCTCCGCAAAACCGGTTCCTCAATTCGGTCACCTGGCTGGGAACGGATCGTCTTCCTACCTACCGCAGAAGCGGTCCTCTGTCCAGGACAGTTCCGTGCTCCGAGACAGTGCCCCAGCCCACATTCCCGCATTATAACCCTGAAAGGGCGGCCACTGTGCGGCCTTTCAGCATCCACGGCCCACCGACCGAGTCCGAACTGACCCAGAGTCGGGCACAGTTCAGCTCGGTGAAAACCTCCGATAAATTGCGGGCCTCCTGTGGTAGCTCCAGTCGGTCAGGAGCGCAGCCACAGTCAATGGGAGGAGAGTGATGGACTGGAGAGCTTTGTCTGAATCAAGACATCGCGCCGCTGGTACCGGACTCGCCTACCCCAGGACTGGTCAGCAGGTCCGGTACGGTTCAGGGCCGGCCGGAGCACCGGCGACAAATGCCATGGCCGCCGGTGCCATTCCTGGCGCAGCGCACACGGAGCACAACAGGCACAGCGCCACACTCGTCGCATAGCTGATACTGCGCCGGGCTTCGCAAATAGCAGCGGTTGACGATCTAGCGATATGTAAAAATCTATATAAAGAACTCCATGGAAGATTGGTTGAATTATGAACGTCTGAAGAAGTAGACCAGTAATTTGCTGAGTTTCATACCTAATGTTTCAATAGGGACTTCTTTTGTTTTCCTGTATTGTGTCTTACTAGTTACTAACTCCTATTGCACATCTCTTCACTACTCTTTTATCATTTTCAAGCATCGTACATGTCAGGGCCAAGACTATGCATATTGAATAAATAACTCGAGGGCTTTGCTAAATTCCCGTGCTTGTAACGTTTAAATTCGCAGTTTGCTGTTGTGATTGTTGGTGAAGGAAGGGAACAGCCACCCTTCGTCATCCATTAATGGGTGGTCTTGTACAAAAAAAATCACCTTGAGGTGATCATCAGGAATGCTCCAATCGTCCCAAAGAGGTACGAACGATCCCGTTAAAGAGCTACCCGGAGTCAATGTGGTGGATACTTAGTGGACAAAGCGGTTAGTGATTAGGTCTAAACCATCCCTTTGTCTTCCAGCCGGCGGCACTGCGGCCCAAAGGGTGGCGCCAAAGCGCCGAGCTGGTGGATACCGTGTAGATTTACGCGCCTAAAACCGTTCGGTCACCATCTGGGCTGCGGCGGCATCCGGCGCCCCTGGCCGCCCCCTCCCCCGGACCCGAGTCTCTTCCGGTGGTCGGTGGGCCGCAGGCGGTCGGGAGACGGGCGGCTACAAAGGAGCACCTTACTAGCCTCACTACTTCCTACGGCCTTGGTGACTTATTGTTTGGATGCCATTTGTTTGGCGAAAAGATCAGTCTACCGCTGATATAAGATGATTGCTAATGTCGGAGCAACTTATCGAAACTCGATAAAGACGGTCGGCAAATTAGCTTCGATACCTGCGAATGAAAACGGAAGCTGCCGTTTACATTGAAAGGACCACAATAAATGGCTAGGAAGTGTCTTTTTCGATGCATTGCAGTGGTTTTATGAACAAATTTGTTCATGCTTATGACTTCAGGGCAGATGCATGGAACCAAATTCATGCACTGCACTCAGGGATACTAAACAGTACACAATCAATGGCACAGAGCGCTAATATTCACTGCTAAACTAAAATCATTGGCTTCCGTGATGTATGGATATAATTACCCCAGTTTGTAGGTAAAGGAGATGATCAAGAGCAAGACTGATATTTGCGCAAATTATTCCTGTCATAAACATGTGTGATCACGGTAGAAATAAGTGCTGATCGGCCAAGCTCCTCACACAGGTACACACATACCTGAGAGTCCAGATGACCATGCAGGTGGTCGGGTTGATTAAACGGCTCGCATTAGCACCGTTCTCACAGCCCACTTTGCCAGTGTCTCCGGAGTCCGAAAGCTGACTTTCCACTGACAGTAAACGTGTTCAGTGATTATGTGCGATAAATTCCTGAGGGGCCCTCACACCCCTTCCTTGTTGGTTTCGGCGCCGACTCTGTAATTTCCGTAGATTTAGGAGCGCTCCTTTGAATTTCTTTGAAGACTGTTCCGTGTGAATTCCGCATCAGCTGAGCGGTGCCAGTGACACTGCGGCGACTCCCGGGCCGCGGTCCGGCCCTGAAATATGGCGCACCATTGTGGCGTTCTCGGCGCACTGAGAGGGCTCCGTGGGGCGCCGCGCCGCTCTGAGCCGGTCCGGCCGGTGTCACAGAGGGCCCTACAGGTGCCGCGGCCGCTCATACCTCTCATTATCTGGCCGGCGGCGCCTCGGCTGCCGAAATGTGTCGCCGACGAACGAGTTATTTGATTGCCAATGGTGTCGGCCGGGCGCTGATTCGTCCACCGGTCGTATAACCAACAGCTCGAGAAGGGGGCGGGTCGTGCTCCACAGGGCGGCGGCGCCTCTGATCCTGACGCGGGGTCACCGAACTCAGAGACCGGCTCAGCTCAGTCGGACTATCTAGGTTATGGGACACGACCGAACACCGCTGATATAAGAGCGACTCCGGACAATGCCAAACAGATTGCAAACGCGGTCAACGCATAGAAACCAGGACGACACGGCACTTGACGTCGTAAAACGTTGGAGAGAACGGAAAGTTACATTCAACGCAACCCATGACGCATAAATGTTAAATTTATAATGATGGAGAAATATCTTTTTTCGGTTTCATTATCGATCACGGAAACATTTATGCTTATTTTGATATTTTTGAATGGCTTCAATTGTAGTTCTAGCGCTAGACGTGGAACGTGCTTCAGTGTCGTCGTCGATTGCTGCTTAAAAACAGAATTGATTGTCTGCTAAAAGAGCGACCGTACAATGCGACCGACCAATCAACATACCAAACAAACAACCATACCTACGGATCCCGCCGTCATCCTTTTTACCAAATTTCTAGCATCAGCCTATGTGATAACTGGTGAGACGGTATAAGCCTCGTTGGGCAGTCCCGGCGGCAGCTGCGGAGGCGGGCGGGGGTGAC